CACCCTTTTTACAGATGTCAAACGACGTGGGTTTCCTAGATTTCGTAATGACATGGGAAAGGTTCTTACAATTTCGAACAATGTCTCATTTAAATCTATGTATATATATATATATATATATATATATATATATTTTGGAACGAATTTCTCAAAATTTATTATTATATCTATAGAATTATTTGAAATTAATTGTACGAAGAATGAAAAATAAGTAATTAATAATAGATTATTTTAAGTATAGTTAACGGAAAGTATAATTTTTTATGGGCAACTGATTTTCTTTTATTTTATAACAAATCATAATTTTTTAATTTATATTAACTGCTTATATCCAAATATTATATGAATATATTTTTATTATTCTTCTTTACATAAGATTAAACGAATTTATTATTAAAAAAAAATTGTTAATATAAATTGTAATAAATTTTCCTATGTTAAATTTATTTACTGTAATTTAAATTTTTACTTTAATTAAAAAAAATATATATATATTACAATCAATTAAATGATCTATCATTTTTATTATTATGATATTTTTTCTTAATTATGCTTCGGTGTTTCAAAAGTTTTCTATTGGATAAGGATTGCAATAAATAAAAGCTGTAATATACGTTGACTTAAATAAGATGTCTAAATAATTAACTCAATATTATTTAAAAATAATGATTATAATAAAATAGAGTAAAATCTATGTTTTTTGAATATTGTTATGATGATTGGCTTAATAAATAAAATTTTAATTATAATATATTATTTAACAATTATTTAATATATGTAAAGTTGGTTAAATAGATGTTTTAAAATACATGTTTTAAAAATTGTTTTGCAAGCTTATTGTAATTCTAATGCAAGTGATGCTAAGTTATTGAATGGATCAATATCTCTCTATTTCACATAGATATAAATGTATGAAATACGTATGACTGTGGAAGAGTGGTACAGTCGCCTAATGAATAGAATGTTTAATGAATTTTTCTAACTCGATGGACATTTAAATTAAAGGAATAGTGTAGGAGGGGTGATTACAGATATTAATCAAAATTTTCATGTAAATATAATAATAATTAAAAGGAATATGTCTATAAAGATTAAAGGTTATGAGGTAAATTTCTTTGATGAAGCCGGATTCGGATTCGTGTATTTTCTTACGTATTTCTGAATATTTTTCTCCTATTTATGCCAATAAATTTTCCCTATAATTCCTTTCAAAGTCTCTTTATTCTATGAGTCACATTTGAGTTCATCGTCAAATTAGATTCATTTAGACGATCATATTAGATGATCATATTAGAGTAAGTTAAGTTATTCTTTCTTAAGTATATATAAGTATATAAGACTTGGTAGACTCAGTTTGTTTGTTTGGATGAGCCTCCTTTGATCATTCTGCCTATTAAGTACTGGTATATAAGAATGGACACATAGGCAGCCATTTATGTCTTCAACGCATTTCTATGGTACTTCCTCTCGGTCATCAAGAATAAAGTATATCAAGAGTATAGAAAACAGTCTTCTACATTTTGATAAAAATAGGTGTTATTTCAGTTTGATTTAAGAAATATTATTTTATATAATATTGCCAATTATCGTTAAATGTAAAAACAGCTATTTTAACAGCTATAAATATTTCATACACTATTGGTCCTGTAGTGGAGTCAGAAATATAATCCCGTAACCAGCCAAACGTACTACTCCGTAAGACTAGTACTTCCAATATAACGCGCATCTCTCTTGCTTGGCTATGTTGTGAGTGGTAATGACAACATGGTTCAGATAGGCTAGTTTAGCTTGCCAAAGGGAATATTTATCCTTGGTGTCGTTAGTCCGAATGTCTTTAAGTAATCAATAATGAATACTAGGTGTTGCAGATGCTTAGGTATATTCGAATATGATGTATGCATATACCTTTCAGCAACAGTGTGTAGATTTACTGATGAGTTGAGTGTATATTGATTCGACGTTTCTAGAATTTCTAAACCATAATATATTCTAGATGTATGATGCTTTAGAAATGAAATGTATGCTATATGATGTAGGCTATTTCGAGAAAATCATTTATAGTAAGTTATAAATTAAAATTATTATAAGTTTAAAATTAAAGGCAAAACAAATTAGAACATAAATAATAATAATAATAATAATAATAATAATAATAATAATATTTTCATTTATATTTTTATATATTAACGATGTATTTTTTAAATTATTGACCAACTAATCTAACTTCAATCCAGAACCTGATTTTTTTAAAAATAATATAAATATTTAATAAAAAAATTTGACTATCCATTGATTTTTATTCGGCTATACAGGACTTTTATTGTCGAAAGGTTATAATATTACGTAAAAACTTTTAGACGTTGAAAAAAATTTTTTTTTAATTAATCATGTTATTAGCTGTTACCAAAAAATACAAATTATTTTACTGATTATTTTATATTATTATTTGTCAAATAGCTATAGTTATAAGATTCTATAGAAATAGAAATATAAAAAATTGTTTTATTGGAATGGAAGACATTTGTATGCATTATATATTAACAGATTTCTATGAAATAATTTGCTTATTTTATTATAATACATATTTACAAAGTTAATAAATTTGTATCTAATAATTATTTAATTGAAAAATATAATTATAAATTATATACATGAATTTTTACAATGAAGTTTTTTTTTAATGATGGAGTAACAACAAATACGTGCATTTGGTTTAACGATATAAATATAATTTAAAATATTATACAATGTTTTTGTACAATCAATATTCTGCTAATCATGTAACATATTTTCAATATTATTCAAAATAATATTATACTATGGAATATATTAAACATTTTAACTATTTACGTTCAATAATTTATATTTATATTACATACGGTTTCTAACTTTACAAAAAATTGAGCCAATATATAGTATTCCTTTAGAGTTTTTTTAACAAGTTTGTTGATAAAGTGACAATTCAATTAAAGTTTCAGACATACGCGATAAGGTATAATACTTGTACTTGAATAGATAAAAGTAATAAATTTACTAAGTTGAAGTTGATATAGACTTAACGTTTTGATCAAATTGTTGGTAGTGACGATATATGACATGTTTTCTTTTGTTACTGTAAGATAACGACTTAAATTGTAGTTCTTTCAATTCATTAAGATAGCTAAAGTTTTTAATGTAGAATCTTATTCTCTAGTTAAATGGGATCAATATAAATCCTAACATTTTAGGTTTCAAAATAATAATAATAATAATAGTAATTTCATAAAATAATAAAATCGTTTAATAAATTTCAAATTAACACGAATTTCATTATAGTTTATACGTCTGACTTCGTTTAATAATAATAATTATACGTATACCATATTTTATTATTTTTCACTTGTTGTTTTTTATGGATTCTCTAATATTAAATTATTGTAAACAATGTTATAAATTTTCATAGTTATCGATTTATATTTTGTACCTAACTATATTTAATATATTTCAATTCAGTTACAAATATAGATGTTATAATTTAAGCTAGGAAATTCCCATCAACAACTCTAAATTTGATTTTATTATAATATATAGTTAATGGAGAATGTTTTTTCGTTGAATAATTTTTTAATTATCTTTCTAAATTTTAAATTATAAATATTTAATGCAAAAAAATTAAATATATATTTGGAAGTTATTGTATCTATAGATATTACTTTAAATAAATTTATCTATAAATAAGTATATTTGATAATTTTTAGATAATATAATTATTACAACGGTGAACAGTTTTAACTTATACATATATGTATTCTTGTCACTTTTATATTCATAAATTATATTTTATTTTGAAATGATTTTGTGAGTCATTTTATTGATTTATAAAACTGTTAATTTAGTTTACATTAAAAAAATTTTTATTGAAATCTCTCAAATATTTCTCATTCAAACAAATTATGAATTTCAAATAATTGAATGAGAGAATTATTATAAAGTAATATTATAAACTCCAATTATTTTTTATACAAATTTATGCTTATTTTTATACAAATATTTTTATAACTATTATGAAAAACGAAATTATTCCTTGTTTTTTTCATTAAACTTATTTTTGAGATGTTTGATATATTTTCCGATTTGCTTTTTAGTACTTGAGCCAGCATATTTTTTTTTACAATCGATATAAACAAGAAAATATAAAAAATTATATTATTTAGAAATATATATACACGTAAGTAAATGACTGTATGTATTATTTTCGATATCATATTGTAATATAATCCTTTTCACATAATTAATTTCGTATACATTTCTGATATATAACAATCAATATTTATTATTGTTTTGAACAATTGTCATATTATTTTAAACAAGTATTCCTATTTGTTTTAATTTTTCATGGGTCTATAAATCTTGAAAAGTGAGTTTATAATTTTTTAAAATAGATATAACAAGAACATGTAATACATATTCAAAGGTTCATTTTAAAAATAATTATGCTCATAATATATTTGTATTTACATGTTATATTAAATGAATCTTCTGACTATAAAATTAACTATAAAAATTATCAAAAAATTTAGTGTGATTCTCTAAATATTTCTTGCGAATATGAAAATAATTTATTTATGTATTCCTATTTTAAATGCATATATATATATATATTAGTTTATTAAATTAAAATTATATGGAAAAATGAAATAATATCATCTCTTTTTAGATAAAAAATTAAATTATAAAAATGTTTGTTTCAAAACATATATGTTTCCGATGCAATTATTGCTCACTTTGTCAGTATTGATGTAACTGATACTGTATTATTACTGCGTTGTACCTTTATTGATTTTCATTCCGGAAATGAATGGTATTAATTAATAGAAGTTTGTGATATTTGATCTGTTGCAGGTATATAATGTAATGTTTAAAAAATTTTAATTTTACGCCACAGCAATATTATAATTTATTGAATTAATTGGAGTGGAAAGTATATTTAAACTTTAAATATTTTTTATGAAATTACGATCATATTAATAGAAATGAATTATAAATGTCTTTACATAATTGGTTATGTAATTATAAAAAAGTTGGTGTTAACAATTATACAAATCACATTAGTTTTGCAAAATCAGATAAAAGTGTACACATTAAGTCGTTGAAAAAGCTCAAGCCATCGCCATATTGGACATTTGGTCTTAACTTTTAGAAATAGGCTGTTGTATGTCTTTTAAGCTTTTACCCATCGTTTCCGGCATATAGAAGTAATAGTATACAACAGAAATGTACACTCCCGCAGCAAAGAACCAAAATAGATAATTGGCCCCAATAAGGTTGAGAAAGGGTAGGAAAGTCCCGGTTGAGAGTGAAGAAAATACAGCCGAGGTACCGCTAAAACTGAGACTTGTGATAGTCTTGAGCTTCGGCGAGAATAGCTCACCCATTAGAGCAGTAGGTATACATCCGCAACCCGCTGAATAAGAGATCGTGTAAAAGAGGAGACAGATACATGGTAACCAGGTAAGTGGTTTTGGATCGTGTCCTAGATCCAGGAGCCGGAAGTGCAGGCCCAAACTCGTAAGGGAGAGAGCCATCCCAAGGCTTGAGCTTACTAGGAGGAGTCGTCTGCCGAATTTGTCGACGAGGAACGTTGCAAGTAAGCCAGAAATTATCGAACAGAGACCCGTAGCCGTTACAATTGTGCTTGGGGTAACGTTAGCTCGGCTGTTCGCGACTATTATTTCCATGTAATTGTTGCTCACGTTGTAAGCACCGAAGTAGCCAAAAATATTTATCAGGAACATCATCATGAAGCTTTTACGGTAACCTGAGAATTTACGAAAGATTTTATGTTTTCTCTCGTTCTGATCCAAGCTGAGAATGGTACGAATGCCTATATTAATTCTACTCTAATTCATTTGCTTAAAAAGTGAATTTAAAATAATAATAATAATAATTTATTATAATAGATTTATTTCTGCAGATTGATATGAATGCACCTGAGAGTTTGGTATTAATAAAATTTGAATTAACAAAATGTTGAAATAATTAATAATGAAATGAATAAATTTATCAAAATATGTTAAAAATATAACTCACGCAGTATAAGATATATTTAGATATCAAAAGTTGCTTGCAAAATATAAAATCATAATCGTTTTTGTTATCATTTTTATTTGCTATTATAGATAAGGATTGATAAGTAGCTACTGGTTTTGTGTTATATACACAAAATCAATACATGTCATGTTACTAAGTAAAATAAATTAATTTCTTTTTTTAACGGAATAATATTGAAATAATATTATAAATTGGATTAGGTTTTATTAGATTTAATTTATTTTTAGTAAATATTAATAGTTACTTAATTTATTAATAGTAATTTCCTAGTTGTACTATTTAAAAAATATTTCTCCAACAGTATTAAGTATTGAGAGATTTGTATTAATGTACAATTATTCATGAATCGTTCATTTAATATATATATATTTATACGTGTATGTGCATGTGTGTGTATATGCGGTTATGCGTATGCATGACTGTAGCTGTGTGTGTAAAAGTAATACAATAATTAATAAATTTATCGCAGTCTTATTTTTTTCTGAAATATATAACGTGAAAAAAGAAGAACATTCAAATATAACTATTTTTTAATTAGAAAAATAGTTATATAATAAGCACATTGCATTTTAATTTTTCTAACAAAACATTGCTGATTTCAGTGGCATTAGAAAAGTTTAAAAATGTAATTTAGAGATTATGTTGCTTTAAAATTATTGAGCCCATTTAATTTATATATTAGAAGTTATAATATTTTATATTAATCAGTAATAAAATAATGAATGCTCATGTCATCAACTTACAAGGATTCTGATAAGCTGCTTGAAAGTACAATGTCGCGACTCTCGTGTACTTACGTGGTTCATTCAGCTCTCGTAGTCTATCCATTAGAGATATTTTTGAAGAGCTGACGTAATCTTGAAGCTCTTGGAGTTCGAGTTTGACGTTGTCCTTTCTACGAAACCATTTAAGGGATGCCTCGGCTTTGTCCACATTTCCAGTCATGATGTGTTGGTAGGGTGAGTCGGGTATCAAGTGGAAAATCATGAGGAACAGGATGTTGGGCACGAGGCTGATGTAAGAGAAGACCCTCATGGAGATGTATGGACCCATGAGATTGCCGATGAATAGACCGATTGATTGGGTGGTTATATTCCATAGTATCTGAAGAAGCCAAGGTCATTGGAAACTCGTTATACGAGAGCTTTCGAAGCGATCGAAGGTCGAAGAAGTTAGCGCGTTTTTAAAGAAATGCAAAATTGTGCTTATTTTACAGGATGCGCTTTTGTCATGGAAGTTTTTTTTTAATCATTGTTTCTCTATTCGATTCTTTAAATAAGTATTTGTTTTATCGTAGTTGGCTCCAGTATTTTTATAGCTGATAAAATTACTCGATTCCAGACCGACAGATACGAAAAGAGTGACAAAATATTTTTTGTTTGCTATAAATCGAGTAATTGTGAGACATTAATCTGTTAGTATAGAGATATATAACCAAAAGATTGACTTATTTTTTACTTGTTTACATATACGTATAGCAAATATTTAATAAATATGTCAAGTAGCAATTTACATCGTTTAAGAAGCTTATTCGCTTAGGAGCTACAAAATTAATTAAATGTCGCTGAAAATAAGATTTATTTTCCGATTAATCCTGACTTCGAAGTTAGAATATATTTACTCACATGACTCAGTCGTTGATTTAACATTTACACAACCATTTACTTTGAAATCTCAAAAATACTGAATTAATTTTTTTATATTATTTTTATAATTAATTATCATAGTATTCATATTTCGATTTCGTTAAAATATTAAAATATTAAAAGTTATTACTTTACAAAAATTTTAATGAAAATAATAAGTCTACGTATACGAAAATTTTCTTTGTATTTTTATATCGTCTCTACAAATTTAATTTAATCTTAGAAAATCAATTTATTTTATGCAATATTTATAATGGACGATCTTTTTCATAAAAATCTTTCAATATGAAAAAAAAGTAAAATGAATTTAGATCTTTAAGAAAATATATTTTTTGATACGATTTTTTTTAAATGAAATATTTTTCTACATGAATTATTATGTATAATATTTGTGATAATTAATTTATCCACATATAAATTTATCTCAGTTGGAAAAAGAAGCCAAAAATCATGCCTCAAAATTTCGTAATATAATTCTAAATCTTAATTTTTAAAAGGCTAGTTAATATTTATGGTTGATTAGTTTTACGACAAAAATTTTGATTTACTTAATGTTTACCTAATTATTTTTATAAATATTTATAAACTTATAAGTTTATAAATTTAATTACAGAAAACAATATTAAAATTGTATTTTAGAATAACACAATGAATAAGCAAAATTTCTTGCTCGTTGATATTTTGCTTTATAGATATAGGATATCCGAGATTTTACTTTATTAAAGGATAAAAAATGAAGTTGTTCGATATTAAAGAGACTAATTTAAAATTCAATTTAGGCGTCAATATATAAAGTTATCAGATATGTTAGTAAATTATTATTGTAATTTGATAAAATATCATTATTTACTCTTATAAAATTATTAAAAAGTCCATTTCATGAAAAATTATTAAGAAGAGAGCTTTATAAGAAAACAAAAGTTCTAAGATAATTTAATATAATCGAGTTATAACATTAAAAAAAATATTATATTTTAGGAACCTTAGTTAGGGATGATAATAGTTTTATAAACTTTGTTATTATTATAACTGAAAATTCTTTCTATGCAATATTACTTTCATTTCACGATACGTATTTTGCAAGCAATTTTTATCGATGTTAAAATTTAAATTTGACTCGTAAGAATTTTATAAATTGATTGATTTACTTCATTTAAATAAGTTTGTGTAAAAAATTCTTTTATATCATTCTTTAGCAAAGCATACGAGTATCCTATATTTCGCAACGCGTTCATTGCTCGTTAAGCTGCGATATTCGTAAATAGTCGACCAGTTTAATCTTTAAATTTAAAACTTTCCGGTGCGTTTAATCGTCGAAAATTCTCCACTGGGGCCATCTGAACATAGCCTCGAGCGTGATTAAGTCGGCGCGTAAAAATGTAAAGCTCGTCAGTGCGGCAC